TAAATGTATTATTTAGGTGTATCAAAAAACCTAATGAATTTTTTCAAAAGAAATGTTTATGGAAACTTATATTGTACCTGCTGATATGCTGCAGTAGCTGTGCCAAATAAAAACCCTTCAGGAAAACTTGCCCGGCTAAGTTTCGTAGACGGAGGGCAAACAGGTCCATCGGCTGTTGCCGGAGAGCCGACAAATGTTAGGAGCAAAAGCAGCCCCAAGAGAGGAAACTTTTGCATAGCCATTTTTTTAGTTTTGATGTTTTCTTCAAGAGAAGAAGTTTGGGACGATGCTTTGTATAGCTAAGTGGAGCTCTTTATATAGCGATTTGATTCACTGATTTTTTATTTATTTTTTGCCAACAATTTTGAGTCACTGATTGATCGTTCATTTTCTTTTATTTTAATATGCCAATCAAACATCGTAGATCATTCTATAATTCTGTATTTTATAGATCCAGATATTATTTTTTTATATCAATTCTTAATTACCATGCATATTGGCGGTGGCTTATTCTTGTCATTTTTTTTATTTCACTATTGTGCCCTAAAATTATTTTATCTATATCTTTTACTATTATTTGGAAAATCAATCTCTCACATATTGAAAAGTGGGATGTAGAATGATTAACGTTCCATTAATGATTTTTTTTTTTGTCAAGCTTCCATTAATGATTTTTTTTTTTGTATTTCAATCTTGATGGTAATATTTTACATCGATATATTTTTAAATTAAGAAAGAAAAGGAAAGCCCTTGGGGTAGTTCTATTCTATATTTATTTTTGGCATCTAAATTTCTTTAGAATACTCGAATTCATGGGTGGAATGCTTGTTTTATTTTATATAATGTAGTTCTATTATATATATGTACGTAGGTTTTAATTTTGAGAATTACTTTTTGATTTTTTAGGTTAATAGTTAATATGGAGTGAAGCGAACGATAATGTCCATTACTTAACCAAAATATCATACAATTTTGTATGCGAAATCACAAAAGAGCTATATATCTTCATAGAGAAAAAACATAGTTTAAAATATTCACATGACATGCACGAAGAAGGAATCTATGATACTGATAATTAAGTTGCCCTAAAAGACTTATACTTCAACGATAGATACCTTGCATTATAATTTTATTTTTTCCTTTATAACGGTCAATTTTTAGGTTAACAATACTAAACATAAATTATTCAGCGTAGCAATACTCAGGGTCGTCTAAGAAGGGTGGCAAGTAGTTCTATCGCACAGGGTCCATGTGAAAAATTTTTAAATTCTTTAAGACAAAGAATCCAATTTTTTTTTTAATTTCTTTTGCAAAAGGTCTAAATTTTTTATTTTGTCTAGGATCTTACAAAAAATTGAGACAGCTCTGGCAATACTAGTTTAGTTTAGTGTCAATAACCCTGCACGGATGCGACTAAGAATTGATCCACGACACGATAATATTATTTAATTACAAATACCCATTATAATTATTTGATTAATCATTGCGACCTTTTTAATATAAAACTATCAACGTGGGTCGCGTGGTATATTAAAATAATAAAATTTCTACAAAAATATGGAAATGGAGGAAACCCACCAACAAATACCAAGCCAAACGATTATACGACCGAGCAAGTGAATCGGAGCCAGCGGGAAAATAAAATGGACACATGAGCTTTTATTGAATCAACAACGTTAACGGTTAATTTATTAGTTTCTAAACATTTTATCGAAAATACTTTTCAATCACAAGTACAGTACTAGTGTTAAATTTTTGATTTTACAGGGTAAAACATTTCATATATAGAAAGATATATTATAGGAGTAAAGCATCATATCGGTGTTGAAAAGATATACGACAGAGAAACAGAGAAGAAACATAGGCGAAAACTCCGAAAACTTAAGAGAAAGTTTTCCGACAAGTTTTGTTAAGGTTTAGAGAATCGATTTTCGTTTGCATTGATGTTGTAAAATAATTTGTGTGAAAATAATTCAAAAGTTCATATTTATTCACAAGTGTGAATCCTTAAAGCATAAACTAGGATAGATACATCATTATTATCCATATGTAATGTGAATATCATCTAAAATTAAGCTTTCACAAAATCTGTTTATCTTTGCC